CAAGAGGAAGACAATGCAGTTACAAGCTTGTTGTATGGTGCAACTAAGTCCAAAGTAGAACCTCTAAAGGTTAACAAGTGACGACCAAAAGTGTTCTATCTGCTGACAAGAAGTGGGACGAGGCTTATAAAAGAAGAACTCTTGATAATATGTGGAATCCTCCAAGATCACCTTATAACCTTCTCCAAGAAGATAATTTTTTTAACCCTTGGAGGGTCTTGGTGATATGCATACTTCTTAACGTGACAACTGGCCAGTGGCCGGCAGGTATCTTATTATTCCGACCAAAAGCACTTGTGGATTATGTCGAAATACTTTACAAGAAGACTCTGTGATGGTTGATCTGAAAGTTTTATAATGCTTACATAGGTCCGATATTTAGTCAAATTTTAAAAAATATAAGCTTTGCGATTCCAGTGATCAAGTAAAAGTGTTTTTTTTCAGAGGCAACATTGCAGTATTGCCTAATCATTGCTCAGTTTGTTTTCAGTTGAGATTATTATAGTAGTTCGGAAAATTGGACATTAGTTTAGCACATCCTTACAGAGAAATTATGATCTATAATTTGGAATGGCTGCATGAATGTTAAGATTTCTTTTCTTTCCTCCTATGCTACTATGGCCTGCATGTCAAAAGAATTCTTTGTATGCAATAGCCTTTGAGAATAATAAACTTTTGAGAACATTTCACTATAGCACCTACTTCCCGTATCTAGGCATGGGCAAAAACACCAAAAAAACGACCGAACCGATCGAATCGAACCGACTCGAGTTTGTTTGGGGTTTGATATAGTTAATTGGTTTGGTTTTATTTTAAACAAAGCCATGGTAGGTTGGTCCGACCATGGTTTAAAGCCATAAACCGCTGGATAACCCACCCAGCCCACTTACACGTGTTCCCATTTTTCACTTTTAAAAAAACATTCAAAATCAAAAGCTTAATGATGTTCTCCCGAAAGTGGAGGAGCGCAAGCTGCCTCTTTGAGTAGTCTTATTGAATACTATATAAAGACTTTGTTTTATTTTCAAGAAAACATTCATATTATTTTATGTCCTTTATAAATATTGTCTTTTGGTTCGGTTGGTAGATATTGTTTTTTAGTTAATTTTTTCTATATAGACTTTTACTTGTAATAAGTTCGCCTTTTGAAAATTCAGGTTGGGAGAATGATTATGGACCTATGATTATGTATGAGTTACAATATTGAATCTTTTTAATTACATGTTATGTTCTGATTCGTTAATTACAACGTACATGTGAAAATGGAAGTTGAGATAATAATTTCTATTCTTTGAAATTGAAATTTCAAAGTTGTTTCTAGTTGTTATAGGTTATAACTCAAATAAAAGTTGTATCTATCGAAAACAAAGTTATATGTACTCTAAGTGAACCCAAAAGTTGAGACAATTTTAAAAAAAAAATCAATTTGGACAAAAGCTCAAACCAACTAACCGAATCAAACTAAAGCAAACCGATTTGGTTTGGGTTGGTTTGGCTTAAGAGTTAGATTGGGTCAGTTTGGGTTGAAATTCACCCAAACCAACTAATTTGGTTTTGATTTCAGGTTGGGGCCGAATCCAACCCAAACCAAACCGCGTCAAGGCCTACCTGTATCTCGTGAAAGAAAACACTAGTAGGTGCGGCAAATTGTCAATGGCAGTTAGCATAGCTAATCATTCATGGATTTCATCCTGTTGAACTAAAATTTCATTTTATATTCTTGCATCAAGCTTGCTTTTTTCTTTGGATGTGAAAATAATGCTGCTCGGGCTTTATTTATAACATCACTCTGATATTGGTCAACTTCATTTAGACTGGGAAAGTTATATCAGAGTTTTTCATACCGTGTCCAAATGCTAAGAGTGCCACAGAGGTTGCCAAGGAGGACGTAGAAAAGGTGATACAGAGTTTAGTTTTATATAGGAACAGAGTCGTGGGAATTCAATGTTTCTCTCGTAAGTATCTGGAAGAAAGTTGGTCTCATGTCACAGAATTACCTGGTATTGGCTAGTGGTTGAAAGTTGTATGATACAGTAAATTCTATGTTGAAGTTGGTATATAACTGTTGGAAAAAATGAGTATATAGCTGACTTTGGCATGATTTTTGAGTGGGACCCGTTTGGCTATTTTGGAAAATCAAGGTTGATTTGTGTTCTCCTCCGTGAGTACATCGAAATCATTTATTTACTTGTCAAAATTGATACTCTGGTGAATGAGAAATTGAAGCTCAAAATATGCTACTTAAAAGGAGTTTATGTTGGTGGGAAACTAAAAAATATGTTTGTCCCATATAGGAAATGAATGAAAATTAAAACCACTTTATAAAAGATTACACTTTAGAATTGTGTAATCATGTGTAGTATAGAGGCTCTCTCCACGTGCGAGCGCAGGGAGGTGCAAATCATGGACCGAAATGAGCTTCGGACCTTAAACTTGTGTGCAGGCGCGACCTATGTATACGAGTGTCGAACCGAAATGAGCAAAATTGGCCCCTTGGAGTATCCAAGTTTGTCTACATTTTTATTTTTCAACTGACTTTTCATTTTTTGAAACTCTTGTGGTAATTGCTGTGAAGTGAATGGCAAGTTACAAGATTCAAGTCTATATATATCTCCATTTTTTCTAGTTTTCTACACACGAATTTCATTTGAAAATTCATCTGCATACATTTCGAGTTTGTCTTCGTTCTCTGTTTTTATTTTAGTCTTTTTGGTGATATTGTTCGGGCACTAACTCAGTTCACCGGAGTAAAATATGATGCTCAGATTCTACTGTTCTACCGTTGTATCTTGAAAAGTATACGCTCAAATCATACCTCAAGCACGTACGGTGAGGAAGTGAATCTGTTTTAAGGAAACTGTGTGTAACACGAGTCTCGGGATAAAAGTTTATTACCCTTTATTATTATTATTATTATTATTATTATTATTATTATTATTATTATTTGCTTGTTATTTCTTACTATCATTAACAAATCGTTGGATTTGCTAAATATATAATTTAATCTATTATAATACGAAAAACGGTATGTGTAAATACGGTGTTTAAGCCTACTGCAAATCCGGTATCTATTCTGCATACACGGTATCTAAACTGTAAGTCCGGTATTTAGTGTATAAATCCAGTATCCACTGTGTAAAACCATTATCTAAGTACTTGAAATACTTTTCTAACAAAAACATCATTCTCGTGATAGCTCAGGTATGCTGCAGATGCGTATGCTATATTCTGTACCGGGAAGTGGGATTGTGCGAGACCGTTGGATCATATGCTGACTAAATATTGGGAGTTCCTCTGTAATAAGGAAGACTTAAATTGATAAGAAGTTGACCTACGTTTCTGCAGCTTATATACTGACAAGTTAACCCTGTGGTGGGTTTTCATATCTTTTCGTGATTTCCTGCGGAGAGTTAATTTGAAACTATAAGACATTGGCATTCTGGTTAATTTTGCTAGAAGAAACGTAATGTAACTAAATTGTACAGGGTCACCCCATTTTTAGTCTCAATCAATATTGGTCTTCTATGATTTTGTGATGAGGATTATTTTTATTTCTTTAGTAAAAGCCCTCACCTTCTTCTTGGTTATGATCCACCTCTTACTGTAATAAACTTGTGAATCATTAGTCCAGTGGTGGAGCCACGAATTGAGCTGAGTGGGGGGAAAAACTTAACTCAGCAAAAAAAAAAAAAACACTAAAAAAGTTATAATTTTTCAAATAAGCCATTTTAAGACCTTGATAGACACTCTTACTAGTATAAGATGAAAGAAGACGTGATGTCTTGTGTCAACAAGACAATATTTGAAATTAGTTTTTGCTATATTAATTAATCATATAACTTAATAAAAGTGATTAATAACTTCATTTAACGAATCATAAAACCCATATGCAGCTTTTAATAATGGTTTCATTTCTGAAAGATCTTCTTTGTGATTCTGGTATTTTCCTTAGTGTTTCCCATTCCACTTTCTACGTTTATACTTGCTAAATTTTAGTGTTTAGTCTACTACATACAGACTGATGAAAAACTTGGGAAACTAGAGTCCGTTTGATTGTAAGGAAGGAATTTGGGTGGAAAGAAAATGAATTACAGGGTATTCAATTATTTAGTATTCATNGAGTCCGTTTGATTGTAAGGATGGAATTTGGGTGGAAAGAAAATGAATTACAGGGAATTCAATTATTTAGTATTCATTTTACTGGGAATTGTCAATTATGTTTGATTGGTATAATTTTTCACCTGAAAAATGTTGAAATTTTGGATCTTTTGGTGCTCGTTTTGCTTTGTTTTCCATGGAAATTGTCCATTAAAAGGGAAAAAAATTTACAATTAGAGATAGAATTTGTTTCCATTGTAAAAAAAAAAAAGCTAGAAAACTATTTTCCCACCAAAACCATGGGAAAATGAATTCCTCAAAAACCAAGAATGGAGCACGTGTAGGGCGTAAGGTGGAAATTGAATTGCAAAGAACATTTGGCCAATCAAACATGGAATTTGGGTGGAAATGAAATTTGTTTTCCAATTTCCATGGAACTTTTCCTCAATCAAAAAGGACCTAAAAGCCTTAAAACTATCGCACATGCTAACATATCTAGAATCCATGCTAAATCACATCTCGAGTAATGTGGAAAATGTATCAGAAACTTTAGGTCCATATTTACGGGACTATGACCGCGATACAGACTGTAAATATATATCAAGACATGCTCAAGCTGAATGTGAGTAATTCAAGTAGTAAGGAGGAAAATCTGTAGAATGGAACTGCAGCTGCATACAAATCCAACTTAATGAGTACAGTTTTACTGTGAAAGTTCCTAAAAAAAAAATGCTTTAAGCTTGATGATTTTGGTAAATAAGAATCAGGTTTGATACTGTAGAATATCAGTCCCTTTTTGCAGCTAAACTATGGCTGGGAAATAAAACATACGTATATATTATCAGTAAAATCTTCCTTCAAGAATCATCAACATAAAGAGATTCCTGCATCCCTTAATCCATTTACTTCCTCAAGGTCTGCAAGATGTACTCGGCATATAGATCCCTGAAAGGTTAACAATAATAGACATTTAAAAGTATCTGAAAATTGCTGCTCAACCTATCCTACTTCATAATGGTGGAACCATATATCAGTATTTGATATATTCTCTAAAACATCAAATCTTAAGCTTACATAGAGTACTTGATGGCATCCATAGCAGTAGCTGAAGGCAGCAACTCATTTACTGCAACCTCTTTGTTCTCATTCTTCTTGTCTGAAAGTGTCAAGAAAACACTTCTACATATTATCTTTAAAACAGCTATCTATTAATAACCTTAGTACTAAATTAAACATTGTTGAAGTAATCAAAAAATTGAAAACTTACAATCTTCAAAGAAGCGGCGAATTTCAGTTAGACGATGAGGTGGAAGCTGGCTGATGTCAATGTAGTGGCGATACTCTGGATCATCAGCACAAACTGCAATAATCTTGTCATCTTTCTCGCCCTAAATTGAAGAGAAAGTTAACATCATTGATACCTAATAAATACAAGGAAAATTTCAGCTTTGTTCTGATGTATTTGTCTCACCTGATCAATCATGGGCATCAGTCCTATGGCTCTGGCTCGAAGAAAACAACCAGGAACTACAGGTTCCTATTCAGAAATCAATTTTAGTTTAATGGATATTTTCGTGGATGCTTACCTTCAAAAGAGACTAAAAACCTACTTGCAAACAAATATATTTCCTCATTCGTGGAATGTTATGCAAGAAGCAGCGTAATCACTTAGGATAAAATTGAACTACCTGCATAAGGACTAGAACAACCATTGGGTCATTGTCTTCACATAATGTTCGAGGAATAAAGCCGTAATTGTGAGGATAGACAACTGATGAATACAAGACACGATCAACCTGGGCATTGTGGAATCATTTGTTAGGTAGAGGAAGAACATTAAAGAAAGTACAGAACATTATCAAGAACAATCACTAAGTAAAGATTTCTAATGCCTTAAAAACTTTAACTCGCTAGAGATTTGTTGGGTCATAATTTGATACATGGAAATCACTTGTATGTTTAAAGCAATAAAAAGTCCATAGCATAAGATTAGACTAGTCCAACATACCGTGATCAGACCAGTTTTCTTGTCAAGTTCGCATTTTACTTTGCTTCCTTTCGATATCTCAATCACCTGTAATGATACAATAACTTGATCTCAATGCTAACCAACCATTTGAGAAGATTGATTGATCAGAACCATTAGTAGAAGATTGAGAAACGCCACTTATTAGATAGTTCTAGGTCCATATAAAAAAGAGAAAAAGGAAGACAATGAAACAGAAGAGTTCAAGATCAACTTATAATTTTTATTGTTTCATCAACTCTGAGAGGCTAGAATACACTAATACCCTCTCGGTGGTGGCAAGTTGGTGTCTAACATGGACACGTTGCCAACAAGTGTCGGAAATGCCATTTTTGTACGGTTGCACACATTGTCGACACTGAAAGAGATACACTATTGACACGTTACATTGTTGGTGCGCCAAAATTAACAATAATGTGTCGGACATCAACACATTGCCGACAACTGTCGGAAAACTTGTGTTCAAATTATTTTTGGTATTTTTACCTTCACCGTCATGTTGGTAGATATGTGTCAGCATGCACGTCGCCCACAACAGTCGGGAACACTAGATGGTGTGTTCAAATTATTTTTTGGTTTTTAATTTATTTGCTATTGTTGGGCAAATTGTTGTCAAACAATTTACCGGGCTATGATGTTAAATTATTGTTTATTCTATCGATGTCGAGCAAATGACTGAAGTGAAATATTGACACCTCAAATGTAATTACCTAAGCCTATAACTTATTTGAGTCATTGGAAGTAACCTAATTTAATTAGAGCTACCCATGACCTGACCCTTTACTCTTTGGATGGCTTTTGGTGTTTGGCACACTTATTGGTTACCTATTAGTTGCCTTCTGGCCCAATCCACAAATTAACCTAAAAGCCCCATTTTCACTATTATATATTGGGAGCTCCTTTTGTATTGTGAGACACGTTATTTGCCTAGCCCTTTTTGAGAGATAACTGGTTGCATCTTTTCTTGGCTTTGTGCTCTCCCTTTTGCAGTGCTTTTCTGTCTCTCTTTTAGCCTTTGTTGCTACAATAACCTCTCATTCATGTGTCCTTAGTGGGAAATACACGAGCAACCGGAGTTGGGTGTGGTTGCAGGAGTTTTGGGTTGGAACTTTGTTGGTGTCGATTTCGGTATGGGTGATATACTAAGCCCGGAAACCTTCGGTGGTTGATTATCCCGCTCAATGGCTATTTGGTTCGATAGAGTCTTATCAATGATTGGTGGGATCTAAGATGAATCCCCTAGACATGGGTAGATAGTTCACATAACATCTGTTTTTGTTTGTAATTTCAAATTGTAATTGAAGGGAAATGGCACAATGATGCCACTTCCCATTGGGCTTACTGAGTTGGCCCAGCTTATGTTATGGTTTTTAATGGTGGAAAAGGGGTGAATTGATGAAGGCTGAAATCGTGATTTTTACTTACCTATTTTTTGGATGCTTCAGATATCACCACGTGTTGCCTCCAACACCATTGGATTGGCGACTATTGTGTGACTCTTTTAAAAGAGACGTCTAGGGTTTGAGTCTTTCACTTGGCTTCGAGACTCTTCCAATTTTCTTGTGCTTTATGCGCCGTTCTTCGAGTTCTCTTCTCTCTTCTCTGTTGAAATCAAATAATCTCATTTGATTTCTATTTTTCCTTCAATAGCTTGTAATCTTGATTAATTTACTTGTATTGAGTGGTGATTCTTGAGTGAATCGTGTTATCAATGAAGCCAGTTCCTTTTTTGAAATATCTAGAGTTTGTTTGAGTGTCACCTTTTGTATTTCATACCTTGGGCTTGATTCGAGTATTCTGGTGGTTCATTCTTGCGTGATTGAAGCACAAATTTGAGAACTTGTGAACTTGTGGTGTTCTTAATAAAAGCTAAGTATTTCGTTTCTGCTTTGTTTGGTGTTCTGATGTTCGTTCACTTAAGTCTGATTTATCAAGATTTGTTTCAACTTATTTGTTTTCTATTTATTCATTTCTGTGAGCTAATGTTGTGAACTCCTCCCAACAGTGGTATCAGAGCTTAAATGAAGGAGTTCTTGATGCTTGTTTGGGTCGATCTTGACACTGACCATAATCTTGAGCTGCTCTGCGTGATTTTTCTTGAAACCCTAATCAAGGGACTTAGGTGAGATCTTTCTGTTTTTGAATTATTCACGTGTAAATCAAGCTGTTACTTGTGTTAGGTAGTCTGAATCGATTGGGTGTCTGTATTTGGTTGATCTTTTCTGGTTTGGGTTTTCTGCATTTTGTAGATTTTCTGCCTTGTGTTTTGAAAACCTGATTCTTGGCTCCTTGTAATTCCTTTGTCCAGAAATCAAGAGTTGTCTGGAATTTGAAAGTTACTTGGATCAAAGTCAAGATTCCTGATAATCTTGATTTCTGAAAATCATTTTACAGTATTTGTATAAAGCTTGATTAAAGCTCTGTATATAATTTTTTGCCTATGTGCAATTGTGTTTGTATTGAGTTAGTTAAATTGTGTACAATGTGATTCAATTCTGAAGTGCCGGCTCTCTGTACTTGCAATCTGTGTCTGACTAATCTGCATACATCCATTTCATTCATATTTTTTCAAAAATGACTTCACAATTTGAAATGGAAGTTTTTAATGGCAAAGGAGATTTTAGTCTCTGGCGTTTTCTGAAAATCATTTTACAGTATTGTATAAAGCTTGATTAAAGCTCTGTATATAATTTTTTGCCTATGTGCAATTGTGTTTGTATTGAGTTAGTTAAATTGTGTACAATGTGATTCAATTCTGAAGTGCCGGCTCTCTGTACTTGCAATTTGTGTTTGACTAATCTGCATACATCCATTTCATTCATATTTTTTCAAAAATGACTTCAAAATTTGAAATGCAAGTTTTTAATGACAAAGGAGACTTTAGTCTCTAGCGTCAGAAAATGAGAGCTCTTTTTTTTCAACAAAAATGTGCTAAAGCCATTGATGAATCATGGCCTACTGATATTGAATCTAGTAAAGTGACTGAACAAGATGAAACTCCATGGAGTACTGTTTTCTTGCATTTGTCTGACAATGTGATTAGAGAAATTAGTGAGACTAAGACTACTGCTGAATTGTGGAAGAAAAAACTTATTTGAATAAAGCTATGCCAAATAATGTTTATCTTCTAAAACAGTTTTTTGATTTTAAACTTGATCCTTCTCTTGACCTTGAGACTAATATTGATAGATTCAACAGATTGACCCGTGACCTAGCCAACTGTGACGAGAAACTCTCAAGTGGGCAGTTGGCTGTGGTTTTATTGAATTCAATTGGTGATAAATATAAAGATGTTAAAAGTGCAATTGAATATAGAAGTGACACTCTAACCACTGAAGTGTTCATTAATGTTTTAAGGTCTAAAGAGTCAGAGTTAAAATCTGATGAGAAAGAATATGTTAGTGGCATTAATTTGATGATGAAGTCCAAGTTTAATCCCAAAAATAGAAATTTCAACAAGAGACCTGAACATAAGAAAAAGGGCAACTTTAAGGACAAAAATAAAATGATGACAAAACGAAAAAGGTCTTTTTATTGTCTAGAAGAAGGTTATTTTATTAAAGACTGTCCTAAAAGGTTTTATAACTCTAAAAACAAGTCTAAAAATGATGGTAGGGCTGCTTTGGCTTATAATGAGTCTAATATTGATGAAGTTTATGTGGCTGTTAGCTGTCCACATTGCCAAGAGTAGATTCTTGACTCTGGTTGCACCTATCATATGTGTCCTAATAAGGAATTGTTCTCTGATTTTGAAAATGTAACTGGTGGTAAGGTTTTAATAGGTAATCAAATGACATGTCAAGTAAAAAGTGTGGAAACTATCACTTTGAACTTAAAAGGGAATAATAAGTTAATTTTTGAGAAGACTAGATATGTTCCTGATTTGCAACGTAATCTAATTTCCTTAGGGGTTTTTAGATGACCTTAACTTTGACATTATTATCAATAAGGGTTACATTAAAATCGTGAGGGACTCTCAACTGATTGTAGAAGTCTCCAAGAGACATAGTCTTTACATTTTACAAAATAAAAAAATTTTGGAGTCCACTTCAGCAGTAATCTCAGTCCCAAATGATAAATCACAAATATGGCACAAAAGATTGGGCCATATTAGTGATAAAGGTCTTCAGATTTTGAAAAAGCATGGTGTTTTTGGTAAAGATAATATTGAAAAATTGAGTTTTTGTGACTATTGCATTTTAGGAAAGCATAATAGACTACCTTTCCTACCTGGAATGCATAAATCTACCTCTATACTTGAATATTTGGATGCTAATTTGTGGGGACCAGCAACTGTGTGTACTCATTTTGGTTTTAAATATTATTTGCTTGTCATTGATGATTTTTTAAGAAAAAATTGGACTTTTTTGTTAAAATCAAAATCTGACACATTTAATGTTTTTAAAGAATGGAAACTTTTAATTGAGAACCAAACTGATAAGAAAATTAAAGTTTTAAGAACTGATAATGGTTTGGAATTCTGCAATTATGAGTTTGATGAATTGTGCAAATTATCTGGTATATTAAAACATAGAACAGTCATACACACCACAACTTTTTTTTTTTAATTAAAAATATTTATTGAAAACCTCACTTATGGCGGAGGAAAACCGTAATTACATAAAATGATATGCAAAACAATAACAAAATCAATGTCTAAGGTAAGGTAGTTCCATACAATCCGTACGCAAAATTCCATTGAGAAGCGTTGGAGTCGCATTGCCAAAAAATAGATGATTAGACCCCTTTTTGCCAGAAAATCAGCCGCCATATTGGCCTCACGAAAAATATGTTGAACCCGGGCATTAAGCAAACCAATCAAATTCATAATTTCATTCCAATAATCCCATAGCCACTATAACGAACAAGAGCCGTTCCTCACCCATTGTGTCAGCACCTTTGAGTCTGTTTCCACAATAATATTATCAATTCCAAGGTCTCTACACATACGCAATCCATCAAGAAAATCACGGGTTTCAGCCACCATATTCGTGCAAGTCCCGTAATGAAGAGAGAAACCAGCCCGAAGTTTTCATCCCCAGTCCCATAGGACTCCTCCTCCGCCGGCTAACCCCGGATTACCTTTGGATGCTCCATCAACATTTAACTTAAACTGCTGTTCCGGAGGTTTAGTCCAGCTTATCCATTGCAATTTTGGCTGCCCAACAGCTATTAAAGGGCAGTTGAGCGATTGCAAACTCTGAATGTCCCTAGCATAAATTCTCCTGGTATTGGTAAACATGCATGTCATCTGGGATAAAAAAGATTTAACCGTCCAAATTGTCTTCTGCCAAGTGAAAGGGCAGCCTTCCATCCTTGTCCTACACCGGAATTTCCACAGTGCCCATGTAATAATAAGTGGGGTAATGCCCCTAAAAATGCCCACCTGTGAGGAACAAGAAGCCTGTCTCCACCAGAAGTTCATTAGCCCTCTCCATGTTGACACCGGGGTAGGGATAAATTCAAATGGATAGCGAAATATGACCACACCTGTTTGG